ACACACAGTGAAACTGAACTCATCAACCATGGTAACAGTAAACATGCACAGGAAATAAGAAAAAACAAACAAGGACCCCGTTTAATATGATGCTGATGTCCACCTTTAACAGCAGAGCACTCTAGTGACTCTTCGGTGTTTTCACCATCAAATGATTTTAACAGTGTCTTATAATGCAAGCAGGCTGAAATGAAACTGGATCCTATACATATCTATATAGTGTCTTAGTTGTGTGTGCTCAAGAGTGAATCATATCATACATTGTAGGGAGCCCTGCTACCACTGCTTCCATGATGCCAAAAATAAAACAGACAGGGTGAGTCATGGCTCTGCTTATGCTGGTCTCTCTTATTAGGGAGTCCCTGCTTTGAATCAATATTTTCTAGTTGTGACATTTGAAAACATGTTCTTTAGTACTAAAAGAACTAAAATAAACCACCATCAAATCCGTGCCCCAAAAAGAAAGAATACGAAGAGTGAAGCCACTGGAGCCTATCCCAGCTGTCATAGGGGGAGAGGCAGGGTACACCTTGGACAGGTCACCAGTCTGTTGCAGGGCTAACACTAAGATACAGACAACTATCCTTACTCATATTCACACCTATGGACAATGTAGAATCATCACTTAACCCAACCCCGCTAACTGCACTGTACCCGGAGAGAACCCACGCAAACTCCACACAGAGTAATGATGCATATAGTGTAGTCACGTTTCCTTATGCAGCAAATGGTGAGATAATCGATAATTATGTCCATGCATGTGGGGTTTAGGGCCCATTCAAGCCAGTGTATTGAGAGTCTTATCAAAACTATGAATGCAGAAAAGTACCATTAGATTTTGATCCACCATTTGGAAAAAATGTAACTGGCAACAGCTTTGTTTTATCAATATGATAATGATCACAAACACACTGCCAATCCAGTAAAAACATATCTGAATAGAAAAACACAAAATGGAACACTATCTGTCATGGATTGGCTTCCCTAGATCCTGGACTTCAACATTGCTGAAGCAGTGTGGGATCATCTTGACAGAGAACACAGCAAAAACACTGCAACTCCCCAAACAAAGCTTTTTTATGCCTTAACTTCATCCTTCTTGTGCGTCATTGCAAGTGAGCCCCAAACTTAGTCTCTGCAGAAAGCTTTGACCTCAACGTTGTCATCTCTGCTGGACACTACTCTGCCCACATTAACATCACACCACCATAGGCGCCACAGGTGAAGCCACAGCATCACCATCACAGAGTGCTTGCAGTTCTGACAGCCCAGCAGACGTGCACTGAAGCATCTCAAAGATAGACATAAAATATGAGTTACATCATTTTAACAATCACACACATGACTGGTAATTATGTGACTTTTAGGACAATTGAATAATTCTTTGAAGGAAATGTCAGGACCTAATAACCTTCCAACACCACACTAGGGACACAAACAGACACAGAGCACATCGATTCAATGCTGTCAACACAAAGAGCTGTTTGTTGGCTAAAAGGCAACATAACCTGAATTACCACAGACTCGTTCCCGACCTTTGCACAAGCCTCCCCCAGAGACATACAGCCTTAAGCAGCATGAGTGCCAGACTTGACAAAAACACTTTCTGCTGTATGTTCACACACACGCAATTATATTTCTTCTCCCACAGAAAGCCAAGAGCTTAATTTCACTACGGAGTTGAGGCGCAAAAATATACCACAGGTAATGTAGTAATGTGGTTATACTCCCTGAGGTCCTTTGTGAATATAAAGGTGGTTTATCAAGCCCTGTATTTAATTTCCTTCTGCCCACTTCCTCGTTTCTTAACCATGCCATTTTGCCTTTTATCACACCTGAAATTGCCATGTGTTAATAACCGAATCATCCTGGATGAAATGATTATTTTGAAGTTTTATGTGAATTTGTTTGAGCACCAATAATTAGTTGAATTATGTAACCTGAAACCTGTAATAAATCTGTAATACACTATAATAGCATTAGAAAAGCACAAAGGTGGTTGTACTAAAGTTTATTATGATTAACATACACAGCCTATCCAGCTTCCTTCAGAGCATATGGATGAAGCTGTTAACCATTCTGTTAAACTAAACTTCAAAAGTAAATCTCTAGAAGTTAGACTTAGGGCATATTCTCATGGCAGTTAAACAAATGCATATTATGAATGTTTTTTTTTTTTGCTCAGACTCTGATGAGATGATCAACAGTACAATACTATAATTGCAAGCATCCAGTTAGCTTAGCTTAGCATGGAAATTGGCAGAATAGGCAAGCAGCTACAGGGACTCTGTCCTTCTCATTGTGATGTTTCCAGGAAAGCGTGAACACCTGAGCAATTAGCCATTGCACCTGGCTAAGAAATTGTTCCGACACCTAACTCTACAATGAAAACTGTAGCTTTCACAAGAGATACACTGTGATGTTGCTTAGTAATCTTACGGCAGTGAGTAGATTTTTTTTATACTATAGACCAATTATGTAAGACATTATTTAAACATTTGAGATCTCACATGTCAGGATTTGCAACTTTTTGGACTTTCATAACATGGTAATTATTTTAAGCATATGCTATTAAATCAATAAAATATTCAAAATAGCTGCAGCCAAGGGGTTTAAGTGGGTCAGAAAATCATTATTTCTTTTCTTGTTATCATTTTGTATGCATTTAAATGTCAATAAAGCTGCAGTTTCTGTATTTTAGCATTTGGCAAAATAACAAAACTAAAACGAGCAGAACTGCTTTGCATTGCTTTTTTTTTTCTGTAGTGGCAGATGATTGCAAGTTCATTGTTTAAAATAGAGGTCCACAAGTATAAGAAAATTCAATTTTCATTTTATTTCACATGCCTGTAACAGATTGTGGATAGGAAGAAGAAGGGTTATCTTGTTGAGTTATATGGTTATTAATATGGTTATTAATTCATATTGTGACGTAACCGTTATCATCATACTATAATAACTGCAGAGTATGCATGTCTGTATGTTTATCCCCAAACTCCTCCTGATGACTGATTGGTACAATCTAAGATCCCAATATTTCTAACATCTACGTGGTTAAAATATTTACTTCAAATAAAAGTACTCTGTCTTTGTATCAGCATATAAAAACAATGGTTTATGAGTGTACACTCCTGTTTTTATGTACAAACATAGCGTTTGCACATTCATAGGCATGTTACACGTACAATTTAAAGCTTATGATAGGGTTTAATTTTCAAAAACAGGCAGGTTTTTATTTTCTATCTGACGCCCCTTTACAATTCCATGGCATGAACTGAAGGGGATAAAGGGTCACGATAGCTGGGAGATCGATGAGAATCTTTCCAGGCATTTGCTTGCTACACTGAAAGAGCCATGCTCATGTAACCATACCAAGTTGATTCTGTTCATCTGGATGTAGTGAAACTCCCAAATCTTGGGATCCCAAATCCCAAAAGGTTGATTCTGTTCAGATGAACGAATCAACCTTTTGGTATTTGGATGATTGAGCATGCATCAAGACATACCAAGTTTGATGCCGGCATGGGAAAAACTGCCTGTGGGATGGGTTTTTGCTAATATATCAAATGATCAACTGTGTTGCATTGGTCAAAAGGCTAATGTGAGGTTACTGAACTAAGTAGTCTGCAGTATCTGTGGTAAGGCTTACAGTAAAAACTAAACTGGACTAATACAGAAGAAGGCTAGAAGTCATCAATTTGAGTTTAAGCTCTTTAGCATCACTTGTCAAATTCCACCTTTAACCTATCGTTAGATTTTATTATTGATTTTACAGTAGTTATCAATACAAAACCTGCCAGTATATTCTAGGATGTAGTTGGCTAAATTAAAAAAAGAGCTGTAAACTTCAGTCTCAGATGAGTCAAATACATCTCTGCCCACAGAGAAACTCAATCCATATTTTTAAAAAGGCTGTTTATAAATTACATTTAAATACGGAATCTACATATTTTGTTTTTCTACTATTAAATCCCTGATGCTAGGTCAGAGTCACTTTTTACCTTGCTTCGCATAGTGACGGTCCGAGCTAATGCTAGAGAAATAGATTTTAAGGTGTAGCAGAGGTAATGAAATGAGAGGACACCACTGACCCGCTGCAACAAGTCACTGAAGCTAGTGACCTCACCCTGTCTCACACTCACAGTTTCTGGATACTAGCCTCCACTCACACAACTTCACTGTCCATACTGTCTGTATGCTAGTGCTGATAGGCACAGTGCGGTTTCTCCTCATCACTAATCTGCTGAGCACGTGGTGCCCGACACTCATGGACAAACCCGCAATATGTCTCTGGTAGGAAGTACGATTGCTGCGTGAAAACCCTAGGACTTCCTGTCCCTCTGCGCTATCGGGAAGTACAGACTCAGCTCACAGTGGAGGGGCGTACGCTTACACACATGCACAGACACTTACACACATGCTCCCCCAGGGCAACAATGACTCAACAGCTTAGTAATCAACCACAAAGACACACACTGTGCCGCAGCTTTACACCAGCAGCATCAAAACAAAACGAATTAAGTTTGGAGGCTGGTAGGCAAAAAGCATCCTGCATTGCTGTTGCAGAGCTCTTGCTCACAAACCGATCTGTCCCTATACTATCGTAAGATGTTTACCTTACACTTTAAAATCCCATTAGATTAATATACTGTGCTTTATTAATAAAAACAAAATTGAATTAAATGACTTTGAGTGGAGAACTGTTGTGATCCACACTGGTAAAGCACATCCCTGAACCACGCCCTGCATGTCATGACTCATCAGTCCCCCTCTGTTGTCCATCCATGCCAACAGGGAGTGGGAAGGGAATGAGAAAGACAGAGAGAGCAAGACAGACAGAGAGAGAGAGAGAGAGAGAGGGAGAGGGAGAGAGAGAGGGAGGGGAGGTCATCAACAGAAGAATCAATGATGAGGATGAGGGGAAAGAAGAAAAAGAGATGCTCATGCTGAGAAACAAAAGAGAGCAACAAAGACGTGAGCGCACTGTGGGTGGGACTCACCAGCTCGACCGAACCATAGTGTTTCCTGCTGAAGTCTCCACGCCTGCACCCCAAGTCCTCTGAGGCAGAGCTGTAACACAGAGGAACGGTCAGACTCAGATGCATGTCCTATGTGCTCTCATCACATACGTATACAATGCATAAACTGTGACATTGTTCATACACAAGTGGCAGTTGCAGCATCTGTTTTTCTACAGTCTCTTTATCATAATATACATAGTATAGTATTACTAGAGAACACCTGTTTGTGTGTACATGGTTACAAGGCAATGCATGCAAAGAAGGCGTCTGCACAACTCGGTAACCTCTTTAGCTTCTGTTACTGAGCTGTGTTTTCCACCGATGAGGAAGACCAAAAAGAAAAAGAAGAGCTATCTGACTTGATTGGTAAAGTCCTACGAGGCCCCGTGAATGGAGAAGCTGGAGACCACAGGTAACCCTAACCCTGCTAACTCTTTCCACATGCACGTCCTGCTTATTTTCCTCTGCTAACACCTATGTTTGGGTGCGCTGATACAATGATCCTGCCCATCAATGTGCTTAAATTTCCAGCTATTTCATCACACCGTGAGATATTTTGGCTTATTTATGCATATCTATGGTCTCAGGTATGTACTTTTACTGCTTTAAATATTTATTGAATGACAACTGCATTTGAAACACTCACTTTTCAGCTACATGCTTTGAGGACAGGCAGTAGTGAATCACACTACAAGAATAAGTCATTGGAGCCACCTGAGGCTACTGGTACTCATCACTTAACCGCTTAATGCATCGTGTCCTCCATACTCACAAGCCACCAGTCAGTCTTGTGTCACATATAAACAATTTCAAGTTGGCTTTATCAAAGTATTAAGTATTTATCAATGCATTATAACACACCACGAGCTGGCTCCTCTCACACTACTATCTCACTTTTCATCTAAGCACCACCTGGATAATTGTAGGAAAATCAGGGTGACTAGGTCAGTGGAGCTGCCAGAGGATAGAGCCATTTAATTATTCATAGTTGCCTATTACTTCTTTTATGCACTATGCTCACTAAAGGACTATAATATCATTTATTAAGTATTTACTATACACTCACCAGCTACTTCCACTGCTTATTAATGGATTTAGGCATGAAACATGGTCAGGACAACCTGCTTAAGTTCAAACTGAGTATCAGAATAGGAGGGGGAAAAGGTGATTTAAGTGACTTTGAAAGGCGACATTAACTCAAACTAAGGTATGCAGAATAGCATCTCTGACTGCATAACACGATCAACCATTAAGCAGATGGGGCACAGTAGCAGAAGACCACTGTCAACAACAGAAGTGTAAACAACATGATATCCCGCTCTGTATCAAAGGTTCAGGCTGGTGCTGGTGGTTTAATGGTTTGGAGGATAGTTGCATCCCATCCCTTTGTCCCAGCATGATAACACACCATGTCACAAAGCTCAGATCATCTCAATCTACAGTGGGGCAAAAAAGTATTTAGTCAGCCACCGATTGTGCAAGTTCCCCCACTTAAAATGATGACAGAGGTCAGTAATTTGCACCAGAGGTACACTTCAACTGTGAGAGACAGAATGTGAAAAAAAAAATCCATGAATTCACATGGTAGGATTTGTAAAGAATTTATTTTAGGTGGGGGAACTTGCACAATCGGTGGCTGACTAAATACTTTTTTGCCCCACTGTAGTTACCTGAGCATGACAGTAAGTTAATTATACTCAAAGAACCCCCACAATCACCAGATCTCAGTCTAATAGAGCAACTTTGGGATGTAATGCAATGGGAGGTTGGCATCATGGATGCACAGCTGACAAATGTTCAATAACTGTATGATGCTGCTGAGCCATCATGTACCAAAATCTCTGATGGATGTTTCCAGCACCATGTTGTATCTGTGCCTTGAAGATTTAAGGTAGTTCTCACGGCGAGTGGCCAGTGAGTGTCTAAAGAAAAAAAAAATCGAATCCATATTTTCCACTTGTTGCCACTCCTTCAACATGAGTATTGGTAAGTAATCATCTTCTGCTTGTATTCACATTGGATTACTAGTAAATGTGAACTGTGTACTGTAATATGGGAATTCTATGTGGGGCTGTCTGTGCTTTTATATTATTTGCCCTTTCCAAATTTACCATTTTAACTACTGCTTCTTGCCCTTTGCACAGGATATTGTTTAGAGGTAGGATCAAAAGTTCCGAGGGGAATAACAGAAACTGGGGTGGCGGGTGAAAGCAATGAAGAGGGCAGGGGTACAAAGGTGAGACTCTTAGAGTTCAGGCGGGAGTCAGCGAAAAGGTTGCCATGACCCAAAGGGCACTTCTTTCCATTTTCAGTTATCCTACTTGTCCTTTTGGTCATTGGCATTAAATTCATATTGCGTCTTTCCTTCTTATGGTTTTCTTTTCTTTTCTCTGTCTGTTTCTCAGTATGGTGTGGCTGCCAGCAGCACAGTGACTGACCCGGGAGCTGTGTCCAACTCACTTCTGATTGAGATGGGGGTCCTGATTGAATTAGGCTCGAGTGATAGATGGAGATTGGTGTGGAGAGATGACTGCTGGTGATACACACTCGCACAGAGTTGACACAGGGACAGATTCAAACCAGTGCGCGCGCACACACACACACACACGCACGCACGCACGCACGCACGCACACGTAAAAGTTTAAAAAAATACTAATACAAAAAATTTAAGTGTTTCTCCAATATGAATAACCTTATCTGGTCCTAAAAGCATTATAATGGAGACATAAAGTAGTATTGCACAGAAGGGACAGAAAATAAGGAGCTGTTTTCTCTCTGGTTTAAGGAAAAATAAAATGATGACAAATTGAAAACACTAAAACATGCACAAGCGTAAGTTCTCCAATTTTCATTCTAGTTGAGATATAGAGGAAAAGAGCAATAGCAAAAGAGATCTGAGTCACTAAGCTTATCACAGCATAGCTCGGACTCGCAGCTATAACATATTTAACACGGACACTGCACTTTCATGAATGTCATCATTTAACACTGAGAGGAAGTAAACAAGTGGATTTTTTTCCTCTCAGTGGTAAGTAAATTACAGTGAAAGCTGGTCAGTCATTCAAGTGTTTTTGTGATTATAAATGTCAGGTTTGACACTCGGTGCTCCACACAAAAGACCGAATATTTTTTTCCGTCCCTACAAAAACTTTGCTAAGAGACTCTCAGTATGACAGCACTGAATTGCCCTACAGTACTGCTGATACACCCATGTATCACTGCTTATTTTTAGTCATGACAATCGTGTTATTATCGATCCAACGTTATCCATGTAGAAGATATTCTTAGTAGCAATTTAAAAAGCCTCAAATCTTAAAGATGAATTGAAAAGACAAAGCGAGCCCAGTAGAATTCTAAAACGATCAATTAATTTGTCTATTCACAGCAGGCAGCGTTCTCAAAGTTCCCTTTGTGACGCTTTATTTCTTTGGAATGCTAAATGTCATAAGAATCTAGTTAAATCCCATTAGCAATAAAACCATTTATGAAGCAATGGCACTGCCAAATAGATGTGCAGTGCAATTCGTCATGCCGTGCAGTGTCATTCCCTTCCTCAAATGTTAATCAGAGAAGTTCCAGAAAGAAGAGAAGAGTGGCAGAAACAATGCCTCTCTGTCTATAGAATTTTATAAGATTAGACTGAACATAGAGAGCTGGATAGATGGATGCTGCTACAGTACCAGTTCATGCTCACATATGAGACATGTTTTTCTTTACAAGCATATGCACTGAGTACACACGGATCTGGGCAAATATCTCACAACTTGCAGTAACACTACAGATATAACTCTTGGGGAGGAAGTTTGTGTGGAGTTAAAGTTATTCGGCTGTGACGCAGCAACTGTGTGAAAACTGAAGTTGCATGTTCTCATCGGTACAGTATGCTAGCTGGTGCTTCAGGACAAATTGTTCAAACACAAGCACAAGTGTGTGTGACCTATCACAGAACTGCTTAAATCTTTAAAGGCTTTCATGATTTTATACATTTAACTTATGAGATTAGGATTAGAAGGCAAGGGGTAATCCATCTTCTGATAACCAATCACATTTGAACGGGATCATACTGGGTGCAGTAAACAATCCACAATAAGGAAAAAACATAAAGATTGCAATTGCCAAATTATTATTTCCACTGTGGGGGGAAATAATTATTTGATCCCCTGGCGAATTTATAAGATTTCTCACTTCCAGAGATAAGAAGTCTCTAATATTTATGATAGTTTCATTTTAATGGATAGAAAGTGTTTTATTTTGTTTTTTCTGGATGTTTGGTTGATATTCTGACTGGCTTTGTACACGTGTCACACAGATTACAACCAAACCTGCACAACACTGGAATGGGCTAAAAGACACTCACGAAGAGGCTTGGCGAGAACTTAACAGCTATTGACGCGATTATTCAAAAATGAAAGAAGTATAAAATGATCAATTGCCTTTAAATTGGAGATCAATGCAAGATCTCGCCTTTTGGGACGAGGATGATCATGATAAAGGTGATGGATCAATCCAAAACTACACAGCAGGAGCTTGTTAATGATTTGAAGGGACTAGAGACAGTCACCAGGAACATCACTGGGAACACACTACGCTGAAACCAAAAGAATTGATAGAGTTTCTGTAAAGAGGAGTGGGCTAAAATCCCTCCAGGGATGTCTGCAAACCTGGTGACAGACTACCAGAAGAATCTTACAGCTGTGAACAAGGATTTCTCTACTAAGTTCTGGCATCAAAACCATATATAGTCTCACGATGCTGCTGCCTTTTATTAGTTTTTCAAAAGTCATCTGCATAGAAAACAATGGTACAGGAAGTCCTCACCTAGAGATCCACCGGCGACACCAGAAGCCCCAAAATATTAGCCATTGTTCCTGAAAGCTAACTCAACCGATTAGCTGATGGGTGCTCAGCTTGATTCAGTGAATAACAGTGTGCTATTAGCTGTACACCTTCCACATTTTGAATATCTTGTGTTACTGTGTATCATGTACCACGATTGCCTATTATGACCCCCATGTTTAGCCTCCTCTTTCTTTTTGGCCAACACCCTCTATTTCCCTTTTACCTCCATTTAACTCCTCACTCTGTGGTAAGGTTTATTTGTCTCTGCAGACAAGCTAAAGGCAGATGTAGGGCTGTTAATACATAATGCCCACTCAGGCTTAAAGGTTGCGTGTGTGTGTGTGTGTGTGTGTGTGTGTGTGTGTACACTACAGGATGTATCCATCATCGTCTCCTTACACTCTCCCATCCCTCATTCTTGCCTCTTCTACAGAGATGCGATTAAGAAAGTGGTCCAGCACAACAATACCTTCAGCTATATGTGCCGTGGGTTTTTCTGCCCATAATGGGAGTTGCTGCCCTTCACTGTACCTCTGAGAGAGAGGGTCATGAAAGGGACTCTATCTTGGAGGAAGGTGATTAGGTGAAATTACCTCAACCATCTCCTTAATGAGAACCACTGCATCTCCCACTGAAGCTCATTTTGTTCATTTTATTAGTTTGGTGCTTCCAATGATGATTCTCATATTTTAAGTTAGGGCTGAACTGTGCGAAAGATGCATGTACAAGTGGTTCTGCATGCAGAGTAATCAAATCTTTACAACTGATATTTTTTGACTTATTTTGATTTGTTTATTTTTTTCAAAATCTCATAACCTCCATAATGCTCAAAGGGAAAAACATTGTTGCCAGACCGAGACTACATCTTCGTATGTTCTGGAAAACACTTGTAAAATGAAAGGTATTTTAACACATGTGTGAGGTGTAGCCGGTTGCTTGTTTGTGCTCAATGTGGTTTCAGTCAGACCAAACAGATAAGCAACATTCATGCTGTGCTAACAAACTATTAGAGAGGTGGAACAAGCTGCGGGAGTGAAGTGCCCTGAATGTGATGAGGAACATGTACCTGTCAGAGAACAGAGCTGCAGGAGTGTAACACAGACAGGATTTCAAGTATATTCCAATTTATACACATACTCACTGGCAACAATATAAGGTACACCTGTTTAACTGATTGTTAATATAGCTATTCTTTCAGCCAATCACATGGGAGCAACTCAGTACATATAAACATGTAGACATAGCAAAGGACGACCTGTTGAAATTCAAACAGAAGAAGCAGAAGAATGAAAAAAAAGGAGATTTGAATGTGGCTTCAATGTTGCCAGTTCTACATCCTGTACAATCCTGTGAGCAGCAGTTCTCTGGGTAAAAATGCCTTATTGACCATAGGAGTCAAAGGAGAATGACCAAACTGCCTTAAGTCGATAACGAACCAATACTAACTCAACCACTGGCTACATCCAAGGTATGCAGAAAAGCATCCCAACATGTCGAATCTTGAAGTAGATGGGCTGCAGAAGGAGAAGATCATACCAGGTGCCACTCCTATCAGCTAAGAACAGGAAACTGAGGTTATGGTTCATGTGGGGTCACCAAAATTGGACAACAGAAGAAAAAAGGAAAAGGAAAAAGGCTGCAGGGCCTGATTAGTATCGAGTTGTGCTGCAACATTCACATGGTAGGATCAGAATCAGTTGTAACCAACAGGAATGCATGGCTCCATTCTGCCTTCTATAGCAAAGGTTGAGGTTGGTGCTGGTGGCGTTATAGTGTGGGGAATAGTTTCTTGGCACACTTTAAACCCCACTCTTATACACCACATCCTATCCGAGTATTGCTGCTAACCATGTCTGTCCCTTTATGACTACAGTGTACAGATCTTCTCGTGGGTGCTTCCTGCAGGATAATGTGCGACGTCACAAAGCTCAAATCATCTCACACTGCCTTCCTGTACATGACAGTCTGTTCACTTTACTCAAACTGCCTCCATAGTCACCAGATCACATTCTAATAGAACGTGTTGGAACAGGAGATCAAATCATGGATGTACAGCCAAGAAATCTGGAGCAACTGTGTGATGCCATCATGTCAGTCATGATCATGTATAAGGAATGTTTCGAGCACATAGAATTAAGGAAGTTTGGTAACTAAAAGGTGTCCAACTAAGGTGTACTGGTAAAGTGTATCCGGTAAGGTAACCAGTGAGTGTATTTATATATTTCATAACAACATTAACTCTGAAATCAATATAGATAGTTAATCTATATACCATCCCCCCACCCCTACTGTCTGTGCCTGTAATGCAGTGTACTAAAAGTGTGTACATGATGAACTTTACATCTGCTTCACATCACCTTGTTTGCATCAGAGCAGCTAGTCCACTTTCAGGCTTGTATGACTGGCTGTAAGCCCATCAAGCTACCTCACTCTCCTGACATGGTGTGTCATTACATGGTTTTGAGATATAGCACAGCTGAAATTATAGTCCCGCATTTGAAGCCACCCATATGTTTAGACATCATAGCTTGAACTCTGCACCACAGCAGTCCAGACAATCACTTTCCAGCAGCATAATGGCTGTTAGCCAAAGCAAAATGACTTTGAAAGCTCAGAGCAAAGAGAAATCGCTTCGAAACGAACAAGGTAAGATGGATATTCATTACTCAAGTGCTGCCCTCAGTAATGCAGTACAGGAGAGGTTGGAAATTGTGGTTTCTGTCACAAGACAATGGACAGCAGCCTTTGAAATGGAGTGAAATGTAGAGTACACCCATCACACGAAACCTCCAACTGCTCCACGAGACTAAACCAGTCATTTTTTCCTATTACATTAAGCACTGTGTGACTCTTTAATCACAACAAAATGGGATTTGTTTATGAGAGAAAAAGATGCCAACAGGAGCAGGAACAATGCCAAACAAAAGACTTTTGGGGCCGACATAAAATATCCATTAGCTGGTACACAATTCAGAAATAATGTTACTTTTTGAAGGCTTTCCGACACAGGCTGTCTAACAACACATGAAGAAAAACTATAAATATTAGGAATTACTGCAAAAATATGATGTTATACTACCAACTGGAAGACTATTTTTGGGTAGTATGAGAAATTCCTTAAACTAATTTGTCAATTAAGCATTCAGTATCCCAATTATAATTTCTTATTGTGCACTCCAGGATGTGATATAGAAAATTTGCATGTAAATATCAAAGTGAAGTTACTGACAGAGCTGCATAGCACACTACAGTATATGTATGCAAAGTAACTGCTACTCATTAACTTTTCTATAAGGACTTATGAATTATTCCCAATAAAACTAAGTCACAATTTGCAAGAGTGATCACTGAAAGCTAAGATGATGCAGAAATCACACAAAATGGGGCAAAAAAAAAAAAAAAAAAATCCAGATCAGCGATGTTAGAAATCATTTTAAGAATGGACATTTCACAGTCATCTTCACACAAACGCTGCAGTATGCTGCTGGCACCTCAGAGTATTTCCTATACACCCAGTCTCTGTGTTCAGCTGTCACTGCAGCCCAAAGCTTTCCCTTTTAAGCTGCTAAAAGAGCCGCAGCGGTGGCATTTCCCATCTGTAAAAAAAGAAGAAGAAGAAGAAGAAGAAGAAGAAGCTGGAAATGAGCTTCCACACAGTAAGCAGCCTTGGACTACATCTAAACTCAGCTGCTCAGCTTAAGCCAGATGCCTGCCTTCTGTGTGTCTCACATATGTTATACTGACACAAAGCCAGAATGCCGAATGCACCTCCACACCTTGAACTGAAAAGCAGGTTATGAATAATTCACCTTTTTCCATGCACATAGCGCCTGTGATGTCTGTTCTCTCGGGCAAAAATGAAAGAAAATAAATGAACCAATTTGGTTTGCTTCTGTTTGTTTTTAATTTTTTAAAACTAACGACAGTAATTCGTTAATTAAAAGCTGTACGTTGAGAAGCTTTTTACTTCCAGACTGGAGACTTGTGGATTCAGCGGCGCTTTTAGTTAACAGAAGTAAATGAGCAAAGACCGATAAATCATGCACCTCACACGTAAAGTAGCCAGAACTCGACCAAAACCTGTCAGTTAGTGCACAAACAAGTCGCGGATCTAGCAGGTGCCAATGCGCACCGACAAATGGTGACAACGCTGGAAGACACCAGAGCAGGTGTTTCCAGCCTAATTTGCGTTCAGCTGCGTAAAATATGCGAGTGCTGGAGGAGATACGATAGCATGCAATCAACAGATGAGTGAGCGGCATTCACACAGGTATGAGTGGGATTTAGGTTGTTTTTTTGTTTTGTTGTTGTTGTTTTTTTACCGCTGATTGAAAGTCAACAGTTTGTTAGAGGATGGATCCACACTGCTCATGTCCCCATGCGATGTTAGTCCAGCGGACAAGGCGACAGCAAACGGCAAACGGACGTCTTCCTCCACTCCTAACCCGCTAAGAGCGCTTGGTCATCACTGCGGCGCAAACTCCGACAACTGCTGACCAAAAAACAAAAAAGCCCCACGACTGGTATTCCAACTGCTTTTTTTTTTTTTTTTTGCAGCTCTTCTTTCAGAGCCAAAAAACTGTTCACTGCGTGATAGTGAAGCGGAACGGATCTGCCATAGGAGCTGTGCGTTTACTGTGTGGTCGCCCTCGCTCTCTCCCTCTCTTTCTCTTCCCCCTTCTCTCTCTCTCTTACACATAGACTCTTCATCAATGGTGCATTTCAAGTGGACACAATTTGTTGCTTGAGGCTCTGCAGCAAAAAGCACCATTCAGAGCGGCTTATTCTTCTCCAGGTTGATGCCGCTGTTACCTCACTGTCAATTATGCCGTGCGCCAAGCTTCTCGGTATCCCGCAAAGTGATGTTCAAGATGCATGACTTCAGGCTGAGGCTCACTTAAGAAAAAAAAAATGTGGAGGGAAATTAAATTTTCGATCTCTTAAGTATCACTCCTGGTACGTAGCAGGAAATGGTCTCCAGTGTAGCTTTAGTCAGCTTAAACATGTAAATTGGAAATGTTTGGCTGCCATTACTTCCTCAAAAGTCACAGGCTCGGAAGTTTTAACTTAAAGATTCATTATTGAAAGAGTTGATGTTACTGCATCTCACTGGCTGTCTATAAATGACGAACAGTTTTGGATTGCCAGGTTGTGAAAAATACCGCTGTTGTTGCCAGTTGTAGTAAAAGATCCTGCCAAGTATTTTTCGACAACCTGGCTACTAAAATGATATTATTAATAATGGATAGAGGCCGATTTATAAAGTATTGGTAAATGAGTGAAAACATTAAAAGAGATTTTTCTCTTTCGCTCTATAAGTCAATCACTAGTGCACAACATGCTCTGGGGGACTCACAGAAATCTGGCCATAGACCAGGTATGGTATACCCCAGTGTAAGTAATGAGGGTCTAACTCCACATTCTTTATTTTGCATGAACAAGCACTGGATTAAATCTTTTTTTTTTTTTTTAAATGAATGTGATGCTGTGAAGATTAACTGGTTACAGAACAAAGAAACTGTGTTGTGGCTAGGTGCAAGACCCAGCTGATTTGAGTAAACTAAACCAGTGACATCTCAGTTAGCTACAGCTGGATCCATCAGTTTTTACACTTAACAAAAGTATTGAATTAAGTGTTTGGGAATTATCAACATTTTCTTCTATATAACTCAAATTTCAGACAAAGGAGAATGGACTAGACTTAACAAAAAAACAAGACATTTATTGTGGCTGATAACATACATGAACAAAACAGGGAAACCAAATTAATCGAAGAACAAATCATGAAAAACCTAAACTGGGAAAACTAAATACTGTTAAATACTTGGAAATACCATGGAGACATGAGGGAGTGTAAACGGATGCACCGACAAGGAACTGAGGGAGACAGAGACAAAATATATACACTGAGAGAAAACAAGGAAAGTGGAAATGCATGGGAACACAGCTGGAATGAATAGGCATAAGAGATGGGGAAAGCAAAACGAAACACACTAAACACTGGACGATAGACTGTCAAAATAAAACACAGACTCAGACACCAGGGCCAGAAGGAAGGAACGTACATAGGAACAAGACAGTCTGGGGAGACATAGGGAGGAGACACAAAGAGACATGGAAACATGGAAACAGTTAAGGGAGACGAGACACGGAGGGAGGGAGAGAGGAGAGACATGACGGGTTGGGGAGATCACACATTGATGCACATGACAGACAGGAGAGACATGGAATGAAAAACAAGGAGGGGGACACAAACAGGAACGGGAGATAAAATTCAAAGACACACACACACAGGGCGACGTAAACACAGATGACGTGACGGACTCACAAGCGGCACAGGGGTGAGACAAACACACACGAGGAACCTCAGACGAACCATAAACTGGGAATACCAGAAAACTCAAACATAGAAAGAACTAGACTCGAGGCTAAACTATAAAACCTGAACTTAAACCATGATTGTAATACAGAGGGTCACAAAAACACAAAGTCAAACTCAAAAGACCCAGCACCCTGACAGCGATGGTACCAGTGGAACCAACTGCTGTTTATTGATGATTTTGACTGCTGGTCTAAGCAGTAGCAGGATGAATTGTGAAGCAGACGGGGCTGTACTCTCTAATCTGCAAACAATGCATCTACAAATTGTGGAATCCTTTCAGAATAGTCTGTGAAGGTTTTCAGTCATCCAGGTCATTGTAATCTAAGGAGCTTGGAAAGAAAAGTGACTGGACTTGTTTAAGTTTCTTCATTGTGACGGCCAGTGGGCTGGCCTTGTGTTTTTCTTTTTCCTTTTCCTGTTTCTTGCAGGTAGGTGGAGCTGACCCAATTATTGATGCAGCACACCTGAGAGGCCAGTCCCAGTGTATATAAAGACACCTTGACTGAACCAGGGTGGCTGGCTTTTGGCTCCCTCTGGCACGTGTTATGTTTATTTGGAAGTTTCAGTTATGGCTGTTATGTCCTTTAACTTGTGTTTAAGTTGCTTTACCTTATTTTCATTAAATGTGTCTTACAGTCTTTAAAAGCCTGTGTGTGGTCTCCCATTTGTTTGTCACTTCCTATGAGCCGGGTTGTGACAAATGGGGGCTCGTCCGGGATCGTCCTGGTTTGGTAAGCTTTCTAACATTTGATTGAGAGCTGGTCTGTTTGCAGCTGCTTGTCTTGGCTAGGTCTTGCCTTGTAGGCAATTGTTGAGTTGATTGCTGATTTGGTTATTTGCAGTGCTTTGATATTTTGGGTCTGCTGTGTATTGTGTTTGGGAGGCCATTTGGGTTAGGCAGATTGAGTGGAGGCAGTCATGTTAATACTGTTTACTGTAGACTTGAGCTAGTGTTGATGTGCTGTCTTGTGTCAACTTTGGAGCGTATGAGCTGTGTTGATTATTGAATATGCAAAGTTAAAATCAGTGCTTTCCCTGTTAGGTTGAAGGAGTGTTTCTCCCTCGAGAAACATTCATTGAAATTTCTGTTGCGGTGAACACGGTTAGAGCAGTTGTCTCGGGAGCACGTCCCCAGGATTGAGGGGGTCGCTGTTTGTGCAGTTGCCTTTCTCTTCCTGGCGGTTTTTAGTGCATAAGTACCCACCGTAAGTAACTGCATGAAGACTAGGCTTTAGTTAAGTAGATTTTGGTTAGGCAGTTAGTGGGAAAGTGCTGTTTTGAATTGCATGTCGAGAATCAATACTTTGCTTTTATGGCTACTGTTGATGCTTTTGTTCAGTCTCCATCGGAGGAACTCTTGAATAGTTGTACTAAAGAACAACTCCTGAAACTTGCTGAACATTATGATGTCGACATTGGAGATAAACGGTTGAAAGATGAGATTAAAGGAGTGTTGAAGGCTGCATTAGTAAAGAAAGGCGTGTTGTCACGTAAAATGCAGACCTTAGTGGCTGAGGTTGATCAGTCTGTGGTCTCAACTGCCGTTGCTTTGTCTTTTGAGCAGCAAAAGGAGTTGTTACTCTTACAAATGGAGAAAGACCGTGTAAGGTATTCTTTAGAAAAGGAAAAGTTGGAGTTAGAGCAGTATCGGTTAGACCTAATCAAAGCGGGCAAGTTATCAGGTGGTGTTGAGGCTAAAGAGTCTTCTCCACAAGGAGTTGAAACTTTTGATGTCGTGCGTAATTTGCGCTTGGTGCCGAAATTTGATAAAAGAGAGCCAGATGCCTTTTTCTCCCTTTTTGAACGCATTGCTGATTTGAGAGGATGGCCAGCAGCTGACTGTGTGATTATGTTACAGTCTGTGTTGACTGGAAAGGCTCAGGAAGCTTATTCAGCACTCAGTGCAGTTGATTGTCAGAGTTTTGCTACTGTTAAAGATGCAGTTCTGAAGGCATATGAGTTGGTACCAGAAGCTTACCGTCAACGTTTCAGATCATGGAGGAAGTCTGATAAGCAGTCGCATATAGAGTTTGCGAGGGATTTAACTAAACACTTCAACAGATGGTGTTCGGCACTGGGAGTGACAACTTTCCAGGATTTATGTGAGTTGATGGTATTGGAGCAGTTTAAATAGAATAGAATAGAATTCAACTTTATTGTCATTGCACATGCACAGGTACAGGGCAACGAAATGCAGTTTGCTATAGGAGATTGAGTCTTAGTGGTCTCCATTTGGAGCTCCAGTGCACGGTCCTAGTGGCTGACTGGACCCTTATTCTCCTTGTGATCTTATAGCATGATATATGTGCTTCACCTCAGTTTCATTTGTGTGAGTCTTGGTGGCATCCCTCATGATGGCATATGGCGAGGATGCCAATATATAGTCCCTGTTTGGTTGCATTTTATCAAGGGAATGGCTAAGAGTGCTCAGGTCTTAAAAAAAAGTTTTTTTAAAAAAAAATATATATATAAAAAACTCAACTAAAAACCAACATGCGAACAGACCCTCCCACACCTCCATAGGGGAAATCTCACCCATTTTTATAAGAAAGTTAATTTTAGTTTTTGGAGTTAGTAAATATAAGAAGTCATGCAGCTGGTATGAAACACAGCAAACACAATTATTTTTCAACACTTTTATTTACACATCCATGTTAGTACATTGTTGGAGGTTCAGGAAGATCTGCTGACATATCGGTAATCTTGTTAGTCCCCTTACTTGGGTTGGACTTACTTATAAAAACTTTAAAAAACATAAATGATCATTAAAACATAAATAATTATATCTAAAAAACAAACCTTAAAACACAAGACTATTCTACCTCTCACGATGTTAAAAAATGCATTAATAAGCTAAAACACATTTTCACAGGGAATTATAATAAAACCAAGACCATTCCACTGACCGCCAGGCTGTCCAAAGTGGATTTAAAAGACCAGCTCAATGAAGCTACCCAATACTAAAACCCACAGGATGATATTTATGTTAAAATTCTCTTCATCCTGGGTGGTCCTAAGGTCAGTTTATCTAATTTTTCATCTTTAAAAGAATCCAGCCCGCTCCCCAGTGCATCCATTTTATCTAATCTATACCTCCACATGATTATGTGATATGATTTTTTTGTTAAAGAGTGTGTTCCTCCTGTGGTTGCCACTTACATTGCCGAACGGGAAGTGACAACCGTTTCTGACGCTGCTAAATTGGCAGATGAATATATCTTGGCACATAAGGGGCAGGTTGGTAGAAACTGTTTTCCAGTTGGTGCTCCCGCTAGAGCTTTTTGTCAAACTAAGTTTATGGCATCGGACCCTGCGAAGGCCATTGGTGGTGTGAAGCCCAGTAAGTTTGGTCAAGCATGCAACTACTGCCATGGCGATGGACACTGGAAAGCAGAATGTCCCTTGTTGAAAAGCAAGTTGGCACGTACAGGTAAACAGGTTAAGCCTGCGGCTCTTACCATTCCTGCTCGGGAAATTTCAGTAGTCTCTCGGGAGACGC